GGGGAGGTGCCAAAACTCCAACGTTAAAAATAAATTACTTGCCAAGGATAAAACCTTTCAAAAAGCCAAGTCAGATTATCGGCATTTTTTAAGTAAATGCTCAAACTTCAGTTTGCTTAAAATCACTTAGTGTCAAGCCACCTTCTTGGTTGTGAAGGCCATAATAAAATAATTTATAAATATTAGAAAGTTTAAATCATTTTTCGAAAGTTGTATCTTTAACCCAATAGCAAACATTGCAATTTTATTTATTTTTCTACTTATAATTATTTTGCATATAATTTAAAGAGTTTCCTATCTACTTGAAACTGTCAGAATTTTTTGCTGTTCAAACTTATTTGATTTTATTTCTGACCATTTTAACGCAGATTAATGCTGATTTAACATTCTAAAATCAGTGAACAGTTATATATATAGTGTTATTAAGAAAATAAAACCTGCATGGGATAGAATGGAAAATTAATTCACTTATTATATTATTACATAAACAAAAAAGTTTGCTTTCTTCGTAACCAATCAGCAAAGTTCAGGTAACTAGAGAATTATTTACTAATGCGGAGTGTGCGATAGACTTACCTCCACGTGGTGCACCCTGGGCAACGTATACTCACAAGGCAAAAAAGTCTATTAACTGGCAGTTGACTTCTCACTTCAAACTACCATGACCCCACTGCATGTCATATTTGACCTCTTCTACAGCGCTCATCTTACCTTTTCTCTACCTTCGTCTTTGAAACACTCTTCTGTCCCCCCTCTCGATTTTCCTTCACTTTGATGTTCTTCCCCTCTGTGAAGCCTGAAGTCAGCTAAAGGGCTAATGATAACCGTCAAAACGCCTACCATTTGATATAAATATAAATTTACTAATGCCAACGATTTGACCATGAATAGTATTACGAACCCCCCCCCCCCCCTCCACCATCCATATTTTGAGAAGCTCGTAGTTCTGCCGCTTAATTTATTTATCAGACTTTAAACTCAGATGTTCTGATGTACTCATGAGCAGACGGCAACAGCAGCCGCAGTATCGCTGATGTGGTAATTTGATTTCTGAGCATCAAGGTTTCAGTTTATTTTATAAAGCGTCCATATGACCACCTTCTAGCATTAGTTTGAACTGCAATTAATGGTAGTTCTGCTGTTCATAAGAGCTGTTTCAACAATGAAAATGTTTAAAGTGGAATTTAGCTTTATTATATCTTATTATTATTATTTCAAATGGCAGGCTCTGTGATATTTATCATTAGCCCTAAACGAGGGCGATTTCTCTTAGAGCCTTTATTCAAGCTAATCATAATAAATCGAAGTCAAATCAAATGCCATCAAGCTAATCATAATAAATCGAAGTCAAATCAAATGCCGAGGTAATCATAATAAATCGAAGTCAAATCAAATGCCGAGTGATAGACTTTTTTGCCGTACGAAGATACGTTGTCCAGGGTGCAACGCGTGGAGGTAAGTCTATCGCGCACCCAAGTTTCATTATATATAGTTTCGGGCCTCTCCTCTAAGCTATTCAGTAAACTATAACAATTTACAACTATTTGTTAGTTTCAGGATAATTGTTAAAATATTTAATTGCGTATGCTTGTGGCCAATTAAGGAGAGGCAGTAAGGATAGTTCCAGCTGTAGCGAAAGGAGCATACAGCGTTTAACACGCATCAAGCGTTGGAATCACATTTATTGGGATGTGGAGGCGATTGTTAAAGTGTGATCGATTTCCAGACAGTGGTATTCCGTGTAAAGGCATAGGAATTAGTCACTGGAAACGGTGGCAGGGTATGTTTGAGCAGAATATGTGGTACATGGACAACGTGGAAAAAATAGTTACGGTCTTGCGTTTAATATGCTTAGCTTTTATATATTTCAATTGATCAAGATCTAGCAGTCGCGTTGCTTATGAAAAGTAGTTCTTGGGCAAGAAAATATTTGCATAAAGAGAGACATATCTAAAAAGGCTTTATTATCTATTATTTTGAGATATTTACATATCTTGATTAAGAATCGATGCAATTTTTATCCATTTTTCTTTAAATTCTCGAGTGCGCATCATCGTACCTTAAAATTGAAAGATGTTTTTCGACCATTCAAATCGTCTTCTTAGCAGAAAAACAAACCCAAAACATGGAACTGCGTAAATTTAAAATTGGCTCCACAAATACCTGGGGTGTTCGCAATACCAAGCCCTTAACCAGAAACAGTTGGGTTTGAATAAACCAACGTTAGAAGGGGAGACCCGTGGCCTGATGACCATATTATTTCACAGACACGAGAAAAGTGTTCTTGCAAATCTTTGCAATTACTCCAAGAGAAAGATCATTGGGGAAAGGGAAGGAAAAAGCCATCCATAATGCATATAGCTATGCCGAAATATGCATGCTGACCTGTCTAGATGACGAAGAAGTGTAGTGGAATACCAATGAAGGAGTGGGGTCTACCATCTTTATTTTGTTTGATGGGTAGCTACTTGAAACCAAGTTTAACTTCTATCACATGTAAAAAATAGAAAATTCCTGCCTAATGGGTATTCTTTTGTCCCAATGACCACTATTTCTGATTTGCAATCTCAATTCAAACAGCTTTGGTTCATTAAATATTTACAGACAGCTTTTGCACCTGAAACTGAGGCGTTTAAAATATGGGAGAATTGAATGTTACGCCTAGTACACTTAATTAAAACAACCTGGTATAATTTTATTTATGGATCATGAAAGCTTAAAGTTTGGCTATGAAAAGGGGTCTTTGAAGTGCGTCATTTGTTTAATACACAATATCCTCTTTTACAAATAGAGAAAAGTAGAGCTAATGCAAAATTCAGTATCCTTAATGTCATCGTTAGCTTAAATGTTTCACGAATTTGTTATCAGTGCTTTGGCAATCAGGGCTAGGAAGTTAATTTCCCAGATTACATTTTGAAGGACATTGATACTGACAGCGACTCGTATTCCCATCCCGTTTGCGCTATCTTGTGCTTATTTTCAAAACGTTAATGCAGATTGAACTCTAGTATGGAGTAAAATGAAAACCGTTTCACACCAATAGTTAGGGCGACAAAAAATGGCACTCAGTTTACTTCTCCTCCATTTGAGGACATTTATCATAGTCTACCTACCACACAGTCACTCTCTACTCCAAATTTCGATGGACGGGAAGAGTAACTTGTCAATTTGAAAAGCTGCCTTTTCACGCGTTGTCAAAGGAAACAAACAGTGGAAGACGTTCTTAATTATTTGGCAGTGTCTACTTGGATGGTACCTCATATCGATGTCTAAATCAGTGTTTCCTTTCTCAAACTTCAACATTTCTGATACGCAATGGTAACTTTAGATCTTAAAACAGCTCCACCACAGATATATCTGGATGCAACTTAACCCCTCCCCTCCTCTCCTCCCTCCGTCTTCCTGACCTTCGAAACATTGGAGACCCAGCGTAGTCATTGGCTCGGTCGAAAATAATTCAAAGGTAATTCCCAAAGTCATTCATTGCTTGATATTTACAGGAAATTAATTGTACGCGAACTCGGTTAAAATGAAGTAGAAGAATGTATGAATTACATTGGATTATTGAATTTTTTATCTTCAATTAAATAGTTACTGAGAGAAGCATATCTTAAATTTAGTATTAACCAGACTTCTAAGTAACGTTTCATGGAAGATGAATTTAAAACAAGCACCTAAAGAGTAAAAAAAATTAGATCAAGATCAAACGTCTATCCACAGAAAAACATTTCTTTTACACTTCCTGCACTTTTTCTAATTCTAAATACCTTAGAGGTATCCAGACCATGAAAAATTGTAAATTTTTCTCAATTTTATTAAATTTTCATTTTCTGAACGAAATAGTTGAGGGGCAATAATTTTGTTTAAATGAATTACCATAAATCTCTATTAGGATTTGTATCCACTGAAGGGGGTTGCCTACGATTTGACAGCTTTCATAAGACTTCATACTTTAACAAGAGATCACTTTTTTTACAAAACGATTCCAATTTCTCAAAATACCTAATTTTAAGACAAATCATGTATTAAATAATAGTTGCGTTATTATTGTTACAGAAGTTGAGATAAGTACTAGGTCGTAAGATAAATCAATTTTGGAATCTTTAATTAATAAACATGGTCATCCAATGTGCTGTTTTATCTGGCTGTTTCTATAATCAACACTGTTATTCTATTGTTCATTTTCAAATTGATAGCGTTTGTGTGACAGAAATTACCGATACGCCTACTGTATAAATACAAAAAATTTATATCAGAAAAAATATATCTAATTCTTATCGTTAGTTTGCAACTTCAATTTAAATAATTTAAGGGAATAAATTATGTACTTTTCTCCGTATTTTAAAAAATGGAAAAGTGAGTAAAAAGTGGATGCCAACTTTACATTTTTCCACATTATACACGTTTCCAATTTAGGTTTTATAGATCAAGAACCTTTTAATTAGTATTAAATCATGAAAATCATGGCTTCCGAAATTCTTTTTTAATAATTTTTTCATTGGAAGTAAATAAATCAGAGCATTTCGACTTTTCTATGAATACATTTTAGTTGAAATAATAATCGTTAAGACATTTTCTAATTTATTTAATAAATCAGAGAATTAAAGATTTTGAATGCCCCAAAAGTCTAATCGTGTTAAAATTTTCTCCTACATCATGGGAAATAATTTCATAAATTATCAAATTGAAAAATAATCAAGACTGTTTTAATTGGAAATTTAACCTTTCAGTTATTAATCTAGCAATAAATCGATCTATTTTGAAAAAAACGTTTTCAGAACACAACAACAGGAACTGTTTTTTTTAAAATAATAATAATTTATAATGTTTGCTTATATTTAATTATCTCCAATTTGTCAATGTGTCGCCACGCATGTTCGTTTCAGATTGGCCAACATGGGGGAACCAATCATATTGCAGTCTGATATAAAAGTTGATCTTAAATCCTCTAGTAATCTCCAAGCTCTGTCAGGCAAAGCACTTTCCAATCACCTCAATAAATGTCGTTTTCCATTAGCTCAGTCTCTGAGTCCTCCACCATACCCGATTTCAATGTGGTTCTCTTTGGAGCAGCAGGAGTTGGAAAGTCAGCTCTAGTTCACCGATTCCTCAAGAACAACTTCTCTGAGATGTATCGACCTACAGTTGAAGAAACCTACTCCACGGTGCTGCAGACTATGAGTGAGCATTTTGTAGCTCTATTATTTTTATAACTAGAGACAAACTGACTACATTAGTTCGATTACTAAAAGAAACGTTCATTGTGAATTTGATAATAAAAAACAGCTGCTGGAATAAGGAGTTGTGACAGCAAATACAATGCAAAAGATTAAATTCAAATTTCAGAATTAGTTCTTACTGGAGAAAACTGATCTTCACAAAAATATCTGCATAAAATCATTTCAATTAGATTAAATATTAGACAGACAAATTCTTGTTGCTTTACGGATTCGTGGGGTGTGTATGATAAGATGCAGTTTTGAATCAAGAAGGAATTTTAAAGTTTCAAGTAAAATAATTAATAAATATGAGTTTTTTAATTTTATTATCCCAACCCTTTTAATATCACGCACATTGAAAAAAAATTTACCGCTAGTAAATGCCCAGCTCGGAGCATTTTTTCAAGTAACGTTACATATTGTTAACTGCAAAGCCGAGGACAATTAGCTGATGCCATGGTAGGCTTACGAGTGTGTCCCACTTTTGGACCGTCAAATTGCCAACCAGTACCATGACGTTGTTTTTTCCTAAGTGGCAATTTTACATCTATTATATCATAAAGTGAATATGCTGTGCTTAAAAGTACAAAGAATATAGCCCATCAATCTAAAAATTTGACCAATTTTACTACACCGCGACCCTTAATTGCATTAAATTAAATCGGTTTGATTTTTTGCTTATTAGGCTGCACATGCGTTCGGCTGGTGTTGGTTGATACTGCAGGTCTACATCCATTCCCAGCTATGCGGGAACTTCGCATGAGAACAGGAAACGCCTTTGTCTTTGTGTTCTCCTATGATTCTGCAGACTCACTGCAAGAAGCCATCCGATTGCATTCCCATCTCCAACGTGTTAAGGGCAAGTTTCTTTACTGTCTTTACTATGGTCGGGCATTTATTCCTATATTCGCGTAGGCTAATTTAACATTCTAAATGCATGGCAAATGCAGAATCCAATTGAGAAGTGTGAGCCTACTTTGGGGAAGGATTTAATTACAACATAAATGACAAGCTCATTCTTTGGCCTAAAATAACTCTAAAGCTGCTCTACTTTTACTTGAAACGCCTGAGCTCTTTTTTAATTTTTATAGGAGATAAATTTGATCCCAAGAGCGTCATATTCGTTGGAAATAAGGCTGATCTTTTGACTGTTCCCGCTATTGTTGAATATGGAAATGAAGAAGAGCTTGAGAGAGAAGACAGTTTGAACTCTCGTAATTCGAGTGATAATGAGAGTGTCTTAATGGCATCCTCCATGGCATCGACAACTATTGCGGCAGCAGATGATGAATTGCAACAAACAGCAAGGAGCATGATTGAACAACTGGGATGTCCGCTCATTGAAACCAGTGCTCGACTTGGCAGCAATGTACTAGCGGTCTTTCATTCTGTCCTCTGGCCAATGCTTTTTGCACATTCCAATTTGGCCACTAAAGTGACGCCCGCAGATATTGCTAACGGACACTTCAGAGAGGACTCACCTCTCCGAGGGGCACAAGAAAATGACACTGACAGGAAGAAGATCAGCTGGCCATGGAGGAATTCTTCCGAACACTCGGTAAGTTGATTGCCATGGAGAGGAATCGGGCCTAAAACATTTTTGGAGATGGTAAAAATAGGAATTGGTTAGCGCCAGATTAATTAATTAAAATTAGGGAATCTTAAGTGTCAATAGTGATATCTCTGTATTCACCCAGCATATGTGTTTAAACTGCTAAAAATTAAATAAAAAATAAATTCATTATTTTATTTAATTTATCAGTGCTCAGCAAAAAATCACAATATGGACAGCGTTATTTCACAGACTATACTGGGTCGATGGGGATAATAAAAATTTTCCTTGTAAATATGCAGTTTAAAATTAGCAAAATTGTAATCTACAACCTCTATCTACGTGCTCTATCGCCCATAAGTTCACTGCATAAAATTGGCTAAGATTCTATCTTTTTGCCATATTTATGAAATTATGCACAATTTTATGCTTTCAACGATTCAAGACGATGGATTTCAGTGGACTCTTAAGGGTTTGACAACGCTTAGTATTCAATTAAACTTCTACCTTTTGGTCACTTCGTGAGATTTTGTTTTAATGTAGTGGAAACAGCTTAAATACATCCTCATATTTGGCCAATCACCTGTGCGCCTTGTGAGCAGATGCTTAGACTAAAAATAGGGTGGATGACCCATCAAATTTGTGGTTGTTTGCGCTCAAACAACAATTTTCATCTGCAGACTCACTTCAATCTTGCCAAGTTTATCATGATTTCAATAGAATTATAATCTTTCCTTCAACTACTGAAAGGAACATCCAGCTGAATGGGAGAGATTGGAAAAAAACGTCAACTAGGATCAAAAGATATTGTTGTGTTATGGAGGGTGGATTTGATTTACAATTAAAAATAACCCAAAAAGTGAGCATTTAATTTTTGGTAATCTTTAAAGAAAATTGCCTGTTTTGTTATAGGCATGGCGTTTGACACTACCGCGCTTAGGTGAGATGCCATATGATTAGTAGTTAAAATTTATTGCCAGCACATGAATAGTACGAGAATTCGCATTTTTTTAAAATATTGAACATTTTAAAACTAAGATTATAAAACTTGTCCTTCTATGAATTAGTAACTGAGTAGAAATACTTGACCAAGGCTAAAAATTAAATCTGAATTGAAAAATTATGTTATCCTATTATTTTAATAAAATCCACCTTATAAATAAAGTAAAACAGGCCACTTTTTGATAAGTGAGGTCAATATAATGAACCATTGTCTTTTTGTTGAAAGGTTTCAGCGATTGAGATTCATTCATATTAGCAAATCCGAATAATACCTTCCATAATAAAGGCCAAAGCCAATTCTGATTAGTTGATTCAAGTTAGAAAACTACCGCAGGGATTTTCAACTTCTTCAGGGAAATAGATCGATCTTTAATTCAATTTTAAGAATCGAAAAAGATGCCAAGGTTTAAAAGAATGAAGTAAAATAGCAATTTAAATGTCATATAAGATCCGTGAAGATATTGTTAGATAAACTTACCTAATAAGGGTCTTTTATTTCTAATAATTAGGCTGATATTATTAACGGTTTCCCTTGATGATATATATTCAAACAAATGCTTCAAGTCAGCTATTCTCTATGATAAGCTTGTTTGAAAATTGTGTGGGCTTAAGTCACCATCGAAACCAAATTTACTACTTGACCAATGACTGCGTCATACATTGACTGCCCCATTGAGGAGAGCACTTTTCAAAGTGACTTTTATGGCGAAGATAAGGAGTTCCTTTACCAAAGTTCATAAATATCTCACCAATTGCTTACCTAGAGACTTCCTTAAAGACAAATATTAATGCATTTTTAATGAAAATTTAACCAAATTGATCTATAACCTCATAGCAAGCTCTTGGAGTGAATTAAATAATTATAGAACGTGAGTTGATATCACTTTGATCGAATATTTAACAAGATTCTTCAGTTCAAGTAGACATTAAAGTAAAGGAAATCGTCTTCCGTGATCCTCGGTAGGTAATTTTCAATTACCCCAAATCATGTCTACTTCATAAGCAAATTAGAAAGATACTTAGAGGCATTAACTGCTCTTCATTAACCGAAAGTGTATTCACCTTGTTATTTATATTAACTGTCAGGTTTTATTATAGCTACCTTAGGTCCTTTAGTTGACTTCGGACTTCACAGAGTTAGGGGGGGGGGGGCTCAAGGCCACAGAAAGTCGAGAGGGGGAGGAGCAGAAGAGTGATTCACAGATGTAAAAGAGACAGACAAACAGATAGACACAAAAGTAGAGAAAAAGGTGAGGTGAGTAACGTAGAAGTGGTCGATTGTGACATACAGGTGGGTCGTCGTAGTTTGAAGTCAGAAGTCAACTACTGGTCTACACAATTTTCCGCCCTATGAGCTTACGTTGCTTAAGGTGTACCAGGTGAAGCCAAGACTATTGTACCCCCGCACCATAATTTATACAAATTAATGAATAATTGTTGATTAAAACGCTATATATTTTTTAAAATAGCTATATTGCTTGATATGAACACTGATTTTAGAGTTATTTGTTGAATTATGAACAACTTTTATATCTTGCTAGTGTTCATTCACGTTTTGAACAAATGCCTTTTCTAAACGTTTTGTTTCATAGACGGCGCTGCCATTTAATTCAAGTCTAAGTCCCTACAATGATCGATCACCTAACCGTTCAAGATTTCATCTTGAACGCCGACGAAAAATAAGTTGTGTGGAGAATGATATGTTTACAGGAGGCAACTGTCTGTTTGCAGCTCGAGAGGACGTCAATCGAAAATTCAGTGTTGGCTCAAGACTTCTAGCTTCTCCACGTATCCACAACAATCACTATCATGAAAATAAGGGCAATAACTTTCTCTCTGTTGTTAATGATCCTTACAACAGGCCAGCATCACGATGCCACTCTGCTGACAATTCTTTGGCTGGAAAATCTAATGGGTATAGGGACACTAATTCAACGGATAGCGCCTACTCAGAACGGAGCTACAGTTCTCTTAACTCTGTCGAAAAAGAGAACGTTGGGAAGCTATCCGTATCCTCCACAGATGGACGTTGCAGACACGGACGTTTCCTGAGCCCCAGTGCCGGAAGATCATCAAGAGACTGTGGCTTTGCTATGGACCTGTGTCTCCACTCCCTAGATTTCGTGCAAGAGATTGGACGCTATCTAGATCCTTCTCATAAATCAAAAGACGTTAGTGAACCAAGAGTACCTTGTTTCCAGATTTTAAACTTTGGACGTCATGGCAAGTCACCACAACCGTCTCTTAACCGTGAACGGGTTAAGAAACGTTGCGTTTTCAGTCAGTCGAATTTCTGTCTTGTTGATCAAATTTGCGAGGCAAATGAACCAGCATGCCCAAGGAGTGAACATGAATTCAACTTAGTGGTGCCAGAATCCCACAGACAGGTGTTCAGTCAGAGTTCTACAAGACCAAACAATTGCAAAATCTGCTGAAATGCCCATCTTGTTTGAGACTCTTGATTTTCGAAATATCAGTTTTAGTTATTGCTTACTGTTATATAAAGTTCAATAAATTTTGGTAATGATGTAATTCCGATATGATGGCATATGCTAATTTCAATACGAATAGCTAAATTAGATGAAATCAGCTGCATTAAATAATAAGTAATAATAAACCCGGGTAGAAAATTGCCGAAGACATATTTAATTGGTATTTACTAACGGTAGTTTTTGCCAACATTCAAAAGAGAAGCTATGAAAACTTAAAAATATTTTATTTTCCCTAAAAAGTAACTTTACTTTGTATTATTTTAATTTTATTTAATAATAATAAATTTCATACTGTAAGGAATAGAGACCATGTTAGGTTAAGTTAAATACTCATCATGAGAGATCATGATAGGAAAGGGGAGAGCATATTGCCCTCGGTGAGTGTGTTCGGTATTATTATTATCATATCAAATGGCAGGCGTTTTGATGGTTATCATTAGCCCATTAGTTGACTTCAGGCTTCACAGAGGGGAAGGAACATCAAAGTGAAAAAATGTTGAGAGGAGGGGGGGGGGAACAGAAGAGTGTTTTAAAGACCAATGTAGATAAGGTGGAAAAAATGTGAGGTGAGTACTGTGGAAGTAGTCGAATATGACATACAGTGGGGTCATGATAGCTTGAAGTCAGAAGTCAACTACCGGTTGATAGACTTTTTGCCGTATGAGTATACGTTGCCCAGGGTGCACCACGTGGAGGTAAGTCTATCACACACCCCGTGATTGGTATTATATAGGAAGACGAAGAAAATTAAGGATTATATGTGGTTGGGAGTTGATTAAGTGGGGAAAGGGTATTTCAATGTCTTCCATTTACACTGATTACTCACCTATTTTTCCAACACTTCCCACGAACCAAAACAATTGCTTAGCAAATCACAATGGACATAGGCATTCTAAAGTGTATAGAGAAGTCAACTTTTCCTCTAAGACTATCTCGTAGGACCTAAAATGTTTCCCTACAGTATTTGGTATACTTTTAGACGTTAGAAATAAGTTGCGTGTTAATAGTCAAATGGATAAAAATGTCACCACCGAAGAGATAGGCTCAAGGCAACCTAAAATCGCACTTTGAATTTCACCTGCTAGAATTAAAAAATTTCACCAATCATTTGAAAGTAGTACCGGTGAACAAACGAAAATAAGAACTCGATTGTGTGATAGCAGTTTGCATACCCGACGTCAATAAATTGAACAGTATTTTGATTAGGAAATATCAGTGACTTCAAGTAATATTTTTCGGTCTTATTATCGGTAAAGAGGTCAAATCTCTGTCATGGAACATATTGAAGACAAGGGCGAACAAAGAAGTCTCTAATTATTCTTTCCAAGTGTAACATTTTTCTTCCTATAGAAACCTTTATTTGTCCACATGATAAGTTAGAACCAAAATAGTTAATTTTTGTAATTTTTGTACTGCAGAGCTCGGTTTTTACAAAATTCAGAGGTATGAATATAAGCCGGTTTAGACCTCAACCACTTTTAACCTCTTATCTGTAATCTTATGTAACAGCAACAGGGCCATAACCCTGAAAATTTCAATTTAATGTTGAAAATTTGTGAATTAAAAATCGTAAAAATAAAGAATTCAGGGTCTGGATATAATGTCTCTTTGCTTCTCACCTCACACCCTAAAATTCCTGCGTTTTATTAGGGAACTGGGATAACAATCAAAAGCAATAATAATAATAATCGAATCACTAGGCCTTTAAGTATCTGAAGTGCTGCCCAAGTCAAGGTATGTCTACGGTAGATGGTTTCTATGACCGCCGTCATTAAAAGGTCCTTGAATCTCATTTCTCTTTTACTTTTTTTTGATTAAATTCAGTATGATTTAGGGTCATTATTTAACTTCCTCCAATTTGCTGTTTATTTTTATTTATTGGTATTTAAATATATAACACCATTATTAATTAAAACTTTTTAATGGATCTATACTGATGTCAATAGTTGATTTGATGAAACAAATCATTGTTGATCTAGATCAAATTCTAAAAACCCCAATGTCTAATATATTAAAGTACTCAAATCAGGGATATATTTATTCAGTTATTTTTTCATCCCTTATTAATAAAATTTAAATTAATATTCGTTAAATTTTTCAAATGGATTGCAAGCACGCGATTTCAATTTTGTTGCCTATGTAAGCGAACTGAAATCGTTCAATTCAGAAAAATGTACCGGTTTGATTGATGAAAATATATTTTACGCCTTCATAATGAATAAAATAAAACCTAAAAATAGCGTCCTGTTAGCTTCTTAGGTTTTTTCTTTTCTTTAATTAAGACATAAGTAAAAGGTACAGACAGTATTTTTTTCAAGAAAAGCCGACTGAATGTTAATTTACAAAATTTACTCTAACAACATCAGAATACGTTCATTTGGTAAAATGGTCATTAAATATGTGGCGGCAATTCGATAAGTGAGCGTCAATTAGCCGAAAGGTTTGGAAAATTGCGTTGCCAATAACGGGAGATAAGACTTTGTAATGAAAGGGTTAACGTTTAACTTGTTTTAAAATAAGCAAAAAATTATTATATATTATTCAACAAAAGCATTATTGAAAATAAGCATATCATGGCTTGGTTGCTTTTAAAAGACCTGTTAAGGAAATAATATTTAATATGGAACGACTTATGAAAACGAATTCCTGATTTTTGGTATTTTTTTAAAGTAAATAAGGCATTTAACTTTAATTATTAATGACAGCTTTGCTTTGAGTACATACAATTGTGATTTTTGCCTTGAAATGATGGTCATATCGAAGAATTAAAGAGTATTAAACCGCTTGGAAAATATTCGAGGGCTCATATGTTGGATAATGTACTCAAGAATTGATAGATGGCAAGGAATGGAGGGAACTGAAGAGCAAATCCTGCTGCAACTCAACAATGGATGTTATTCTATTCGTCTGGAAGTTTTAAGGTCAACACTCTTGCATTCTCCCACTTCATATTATAACCTTTTACGATTCCGACGTCAAGTTGATTGAGATAGAGATAGAAAAAAGGTAAATAGTGAGGGTGGAGGAGACAAAGGAGGAACCAAGAAAACGTCAAAATTACATCTGTCCTTGCTAAATAAATTACATATTGGTCTAAATACATGCCATCAATCAAGGAGGCTTCTTCGCAATTCACTCGTGGTCAAGGTGATTGGTACTTAGCCCGGGCATAACTGGCTCACTTCCTGGTATTTACTACTGTCGCTACAAAAGTATTCGGGTCATACCATTTTGCACATATAAGCATTTGCAAGGTCTTTTACCATTGAACTCTTCTTAACGTGACAATGAACCAATCATTCAACCAAATCAGGCCTGAAAGTCAAAATAGTCGTAGATGTAATAATAGAGGACTTTCTTTATTGAAAAATTCAGTTAATGATTAATTTCGCTTTCACAAAAAATTCTTTCCAGTGAAAGTAGGAGTTTGGGTTATCAGTAAGGTTTCATGCCTTCGATATTGCCACTGAAAATAGCAAATTAATAAAGGTAATGAATACTTGGTGCAATTAGATTGAACCAAATCAATTAAGAATGCTAATATGAGTAAAGTGAATTGCTTTACGTTGGGAAGTAAAAGCAAACGAGATAACGTAGGTTGAAATTCCCCAGTTTGCAAATTTCCTCACCACATCCCAAATCCGTCGTGTTCGCCCAAACCATCTGATAAAAAAGCAATGTCGAGTTTAAAACTTTTCGTCCAGATTATGCAAAATAAAAATTATTCAAATAATCTTCTTACCTGCTTGAAATTGTGGCACCTCGTTCCGACCTTGCATTGGTTCGTACGATAATTGTAGTTCTTATATTCATTGAACCAATATGTTACATCCCTGAAAGTAAAATTTTATAAATAGTGTTCAACAGACACAAGAATGAAAATGCTTACTCCTTCAAAGTTCCATAAACAACAATATTCTGTCCAACATCTTTGCGTCTGGGATCGTGGTTGATCCTACATTTTTTGCCCAATTCTGAGCCCTGGTCGCCAATGTGGAGTTCCACTTCTACGAAAGAAGAAACCAAAAGTGATACAGTAGTAGCAATAATCTACACTCCATATAACCTCTTCAGTGCACACTAAGTAGAGGGTCAGTCTGAAGAAGAATTACAAACTTAACATTCACAACATTCCATCCCCCCCCCCCACCCATCGCCACCACATTGCTAGTTGTTACTATGCTGTAGAAAGCATGACAACTTCTGTAACTGCAAGCTCATCAGTGAGCTCTTCAGCATGACACGAAATCAAGATGCACGAAAGTTAAATATTGTAGGATGGAACTCACCAAGTCAGGCATGACATAACTAGCGGGTTGACCAGGGACTTGGCCACTGGCCACAATATGACGATAATAGTTATGCATATCCAAAACATCTTTCATTGCAGCACTTGGCTCACCACCACTTACATCAAAACGAGATACATTTTGGCCGCCACCACCACTGATATAACTCTGACTCAAAGCACCACTGCCATCATTTGTCTCGGAGGGCTTGGCAGCTAACACAATACCCAGCAACAGAACACTGAAAGTGAGACAGTTCTTCATTCTTCACTCCACTCCACTCCTACTCCTACCCCTTATCCCATTCTCCCCCCTTCCCACTCTCTTATACTCCAACACCAATGCACTTCTACGCACTCTGCATGTTTCAACTCAATCTTCTCCTATTCACTGCACATTCTCCTCTTCTACTTCACTGCTCCCATGTACTTGCATAACCGCCACTATCTTCACACTCTCTCACGCCTCATTCAACTCACTCTCACGTGAAATATCCCTATTCAACATACCCTAATGTTTACCTCATTTTCTTGTAATAAAAGCCCTTCCCACTCTCCACCACTTCTTTGGGCGTCTTTATTGCTTTCTCTCGTCACATTCTACTGCTTATAGAACAAATGCTGCAATGGGCAAAACTTACGTCCAGGCTTCTCACATTTTTAGTCATCGTGTCAAGTCCAATTTCAAATATTCTCCTCTCTTTACTCAACACTTTGTTCACTTAGTTGATCAAATGTGCATTTACTGCCAACTTAAAACTCTCTTTCTCCTCCTCTATCCGCGAGCGTTCAGTAGGTAGTGAATTTGGAAGAAGTTGAAATCGTGTCATTCTAACCAATTCATTCTTCTTCAATACTATCTCTTCGACTATTATTCCACCCACCATAGTAGTATTGCTAGCAATCTCCCAACTTCTCATAAATTCCTTTCGTGCCAATACGCCTGAACTCGCACATTGAAAGGGAAGCAACAGACAAATAAAACATCACTAACACTTACATCAACTGATGCTAATAGTTAGGCTTGTGTTGGTGTTGAAAACTACTTCTGGATATATCTTGTTAAGAAGTGCGGCACCTTAAAAGTCCCCTTTGGGCTAACCCATTTCGAGAAATTAAATAGTGTACTTTTATGCCTACATACGAAGTGAGAATGAGAGGTGGCGATTAAGGTGAGTGGTGAAGGTGAGCTAGACAAACGAGGGGCCGAAAATTTCAAAATAACATAACTTCTCGTTGCAGGCTAATGCAAAGTTCGCTCGAGGACAAGACATCTATCAGGTGCTTGCAAACAATTGGTATTTGGCCATGGCCTAATCGGCTCTCTTCCTCGTCCTTACTACTGTCGCCACAATAGCAGACGAGTCATGTGATTTTCCACATACAACCACTTCCAAGCTCATTGCCCCTTGTACTCTACTCAACTTAGCAATAGACCAACCATTCATCCAAACCCAACCAGAATGACAAGATAAGGGATGGGGTTTTAATAAAGCGCTTTATTTATTGGGAAATTCAATCAACGATTAATTTTGTCTTCACAACAACTTGCTCTGTTGAAATTTATTGAAAGAGTGAATTGGGGTACTCAGTAAGGCCTCCTGCCTGATTAAAATTGGCGAGATTCTCGATTCAATTTTCTTAGGCTACACAAATTCGAAGTGTTATTGTGAATAACGTAACTTGACCTACTTTGATCCGTAATTGCAAACGAGTTGGTGTGTTGGCGAATTGTGGAAAACGCACTTCTTCAAACCACATCCCAAATCAGTCGCTTTAGGCCAAAATACCTGAGGGAAGGACAATGTTTTGCTTTAAATGCTATGTTCACGTTGAGTTACATAAAAAATTTACATTCAAATGCTCAACTTACAGTTTCGAAGTCCTTGCACACAACTGCGAGTTCATCATGATTTTGAACACCATTACAGAGCCTATACCTATCGAACCACTTTCTCACTTCTCTGAAAACAAAAAAAATTAGCAAATGGTGCTCATTGGGCACATCAAAGCTATTGCTTACCCCTGCATATCTTTAAAGCCAACAATAATCTGTCTAACACTTTCGAATGGTTCTATTTTCAATTTGTCAGGGAGTTCAGTTCTGAATGTGCAGTTGTTTGCCAAAGCCTGAGCCTTGGCCGCCAATTCGGGGCTCCAGTCCTACAAAAGAAGAGACCAAAAGTGATGCAATTCTTCCTAACACTCACACACTAGAACTCATCTCCTCAATCTATACTGAATAGAAGGACTCCCTCAAGATGAACCACAATCGCAACAACCCTCTACACACTCACCTCCTTCTTCCACTTTGCTAGTTCTTAATATGCTCTAGCAGGTGTGACCACTTCTTCAACTACATGCTCACTAGTTAACGCTTCAATACAGTTTGATATATAGCTACACAGCAAGGTACATGTTGAAGGAGGGAACTCACCAATTCAGGTATGCGAGGCCCACTTTTATATATATAGCGATACTCATTGTGCATATCCCATAGACTTCTCAAAAAATCACCTTCAGTACCACATAATTTAATTCCACCGCGACCACATTGTGCTCCGGAGGGCTTGGCAGCTAACACAATACCCAGAAACAGAACACTGAAAGTGAGACAGTTCTTCATTCTTCACTCCACTCCACTCCTACTCCTNCCACTCTCTTATACTCCAACACCAATGCACTTCTACGCACTCTTCATGTTTCAACTCAATCTTCTCCAATTCACTGCACATTCTCTCCTCTTCTGCTTCACTGCTCCCATGTACTTGCATAACCTCCACTATCTTCACACTCTCATTCCTCTTTCGACATGCTCACGCCTGAATTACCCAAAGTCAACATTCCTAAATTTTACCTCCAAATCATCTTTTCCAACACCTCGGCACCACTCGAGCCTTCATTCGGCGACACTTGTTCTTTTCCCTTGAAGCACTTTACCACCAATCGAACTTATGCTCTTTTGTGCAAAAATTCTATGGTTGCTTTACATATTTCTAATCATCGAACAAGTCCACCTTCAAATATTCTCCCCCCAATGCCCCACTCCATTACTCTTCTCTTTGCACACTTAGTTGAACAAATGTGTATTCCCTCCCAACTCCAACATCTCTCTCCACCTCTTCCTCTCTATCCGTGAACATCCAGTTTGAGGTGAAGTTGGAAGAGGTTGAATGATTGCTAATCCAACTAATTTACTCCTTCTTAACAATCAACTCTTCACCTACCATTTCATCCACCATAGTAGTTCTGCATGCAATTACACAGCTTCTCACAAGTTCAAATCACGCCATTAGATGAGAGAGGGATTGAGGAAGGGGATTGGTTGGGATGGGATGAGTGGGGGGTGAAGTGGTTTGAGAAATTGGAAGCAGGTTAAAGTCAACGCAACAGGGGTGTTGCAATCATTGTTCATTCGTTCGCACTACATTAATTACGCAATTAAATTCGTCAATGACAACCTCTTCCACTGACTCATTGCTATTATACATTGTGGAAGGATTTATGGAGGAGTTTCAAATTGTTGAGGGTTGGGCGGGTGTTGTGATATGAAGAGATGCGAAGAGATGAGGGATGCTTGTAGGGGGAAATTGGCTTCATGTTAAATTCAGCGCATCAGGAGTTTTGCTTTCATCGTTCATTCGTTCACTCCCAAGTGATTGCGCCAGACAAAGCGCCCACGCGCTATCTCTCACTTATTCATCATCTTCATCGTGTATTGAGCGAGTGGTTGGGACCCGTGACAAGACCTAAGGATGAGAAATAACAGTAGCCAAGAGGCCCAACGCAAAGGAAACACATTCGCCCCCAGATTGCATGAATGTTGATTAGGANCACCTCATGCTCTCATTTCCACCACTGCTCCCATTTCTCCACTTTTAGCGACTTCACATGATCACCCAAAACCCACACTTCCATAGCTAATTAGCATCAGGTGTACTGGGAGACCAATTCCATTCACCACTATGTTCCCGCTGCATGAATTCTACGAACCTCTTCCATCCACCGCTCTACAGGAAGAAATCGATTTTCATCACGACGAACACTCCAAATACTAGACCTCCTGCACTGAGCTCAAATTTGAATGAATGCTCGAATTTGCCAATAATGTCACACAATTTAAATGGCACAATTGGTGTTTTAATAAGTATAGTGAATCTGAAGATAAAACATTTAAACCCCTCCTTGGAGAATGGAAAGAGCGAAGACACTACAAGTTGCCTCATCCTCTCACCTTTCTTTGCTGACAACTTCTTGAGGACGATCGAATTATTCACAAGGTATATTTTTGTCTGATTGGAAATTTGTTTAGGTGTGGACATCTAGAGGTCCACGTTAATAGAGTGGGAATGGAATTGAAGTGGGCAGTTGGATGAGAGGAAGCTGTGTGAAATGGCGATTGTAGTTGGTCTGTTCGGACTAAGAGATGGAAGTGGTGACAGGTGTCAGGACATGCGTTAGACTGCACATGGGAATTGAAACTTTGCGAAAGTTCGCAGACATTGCCAATAGAAGGTTGGTGTTATCTCTCTGTTTGTGGTAGCAAGTGCGCAAAGCATAGGTATTGGTGAGTCATGGTGGCTTGGATCTCACTCAAGGTTTCATCCCCATATGTGGCATCACAACAAGACTGTTTTCGATATTGATTAATCGTTAGAAGAAAGCAATTGCTCTCTCTCGGTAGTGAACAATCGATGCATTTATTGGTTATTAAATAATTTAATGACCTTCAAAGCACATTCCATCTTGACACTTGGCAAAGAAGTCACTATTGGCTGTGTACGATTTGGTCAAACCCTTTCGTCTTGGTAAATGCATATTCAGACAGCGTGAATGAGTTCATATGAATTTGAGTTTACTGATCAGTTTCCTCATTAAGAAACACATTAGAACTCTGTATTACAATAAAAGAGCCGTAGTTTCCAAAAATGCCCTGACATACAATTGAGGTTCATTTTTACTCGTGTTGACTGATAATGCTTCCAATATTCGAGGACAATTCAAGTTACCGAAGGGCTTAGCAACAAACCAAAACCAAAAATTCATTGTAAGAATATCTCTTCGATTAATAGCCTACTTCCTCCAACATTTTGCACACCTTCGTGTCCACTATTTTACACATTTACATTCAATTTCACTGCACTCTTCACGAATACCGAAAATTGCTTCTTGTAGCTATGAATTCATTGACGGTTTTGACATGGTTTTGACGGCTTTTCCATTCCGGCTACTGATACTGCTTACAAGTGTCACTATGTTCACCTCTGTACTCCCATGCCGTATCATTCGCAGATCTTCACGTGCTATTACTAACGGCGTAATGAGTTGCTTACTGAAAATTGCATTTCACCAAGATCGAAAACGACTTGAATAGTGATTTTGCTCAATCACCAATCTTCATTTACATTCATCCGACTTCCTTAGCTAAAAAGTAGATCTCTCATAAAAGTGATTTTGATCATTTGTGCTTTATCTAATATTTTTCGATATCTACATCAATATGCGTTCTGACATTTTGGCCCTATCGGATGATGCTTAGGTTCGATTCCCGCCAAAGAGCTGAAAACAAAGCAGACTTACTCAGTTCCCTCCTTCTAGCTTTTTAGCTTCTCTGTTTAACACAACTTGGGTTTCGTTCACTTGGCGTAGACTCCATCTTTCTACTGCTCAATGTTCTCATTTCTCAACCAACCACTCACATCAACCCCCACTCCCCATCCCTCTTGCTCCTCTTAAATGCACACATGGCCTCCGATCGTTAGCTGTTATCGTTTAGCAAATAAGTTTCTGTGGCATTAACAGCACTCCATTTCCTTCCATAAGTCCACAATTGTCTCTTTCCACTATGCCTCATTCTTGTCACTGTTTAATGGTAGATTTTAAAAGGTTTCACTTAGTTTCACTGTGTCAATGCACGCAAATATGTAATCCACATTCACAAGACTGCTTAACAATTATTGTGCCCCCATCGCAATGCATTTTTCATCATCATTAGTAAAGAAACCATTTAGTGGATAACTAAATTTAGTACACATGAGACTAATTTACTCTTAGTGTGTGTTTAGTACAAATAGAGGCCTTAAACTTCAATGATGAAATACACTAAGAAGTACTAAACAATGAGCTGAAACGGGAAACGCATTGACTTGTGACAAATGATTTTAATTTTGTGAAATCACTTAAAGTGTAGCCTCCTTTCTATGACAAATTGAATGAATTCTTTTGTTATCGTTGGTGCTCTAGCGATGGGTATACTCCAGATTACTTCAACGGTTCAACGTAACAAGTGTTGTTGTGGCAGGAGTTATGATGAGTGTACAACGGGTGAAAATCGAAAGGCACTATGACAAACCTTGACACGACGATAGTTCTGATCATCATGAGGGTGATGGTGTAACTTCTTTCAGTGTTGGCGGAGGAGGGGGGGGGGTGACCCAAGCCCCACTAATAAAGACCGTGTTGCCTCGGAACAACATTATTCTATGTTAGATTTTCCATGACGAAATCGAAGATTTACCTCTAGACGACAGTGTTCATTACCTTGTCGGTTCACATATAATTTATGGTTTCCACTAGAAATGTGTCCTTGGATAATCCGAATCACACTCCGCACTGTTTGGTTTCTATCAGAATGGAAGAGGAGTTCGCAAACCCATGAACAATCGGTGATGACACTCATCAATAGGGGGGAAAGGAGGAATTGGATTGGGTTGGGGTGAGCATTGCATTCAAACCATCAGAGAGCAGATAAATAAGCAGTCATCTTAAGCCAATGCAGAGCTTGTCTTTGGTGCCTCATCGTGCTACGTTTAATTCAACCTATGTTAGATGCGTGGAGAGTTGGTTCGAAGAACACAGTTCAATGGCATTTATCCAAACACCTGTGTTACAGGTTATTTGTACGGGGACTACGCTCAGATTGCAACTTTCCAATAATTCCAGCTTTCAAAAGCCACACCACACAATTTCCCCACACATCCTCATTTTCTTACCCTCTCCATCTCTCTCCTCAGTTGGTTTGGGCAAAAACGCAACTGATGTGGAGTCTGGACCAAATGGAGTTTAGTAAATCGACTCCATTTACTTCAAGGGCTTAATACAAACTGCTTCCAACTGATTTCTTCAACTTTAATTTCCATATATTGCCTGTCCCGCAAGATGGCAACATTACTATAACCCCACGAACTCTAATCGTCAACTACTTGAATCACCTTATTCGCCACTAAAGCAATGGCACGCATCATTTAAGTTTTCAAACAAATGAGCGAATAGCTCAAGTATTTCGTGAATCAATTGGGTATCTCTCTCTTTATTCATTGAGAGGGAGAGAGAGGGAGCTAAAGTCATATTAATTTCAGTTCGTTTCCTTGGGTTATTTCATATCAAGGTCGTTACAATTTACGCCACCAGATATTTGTGCCACAAAAATTGACTTTTTGCGTCGGTGCCACACACTCACACGCACTAATCCATTGATGAAGTCGATCAAGATGAATGCCACCTTTGCTCTTTGATAATTGGAATTTACTTTAATTTGAATGAACCAATGTCTGATTATCACAATTATGACCAATTCTAGTATCGAATTATGTGCTTTGTGGTCTTGGCGCTTGTGTCACGCCAAGAACGCTGTGACCACGATTTCACGATTGTCACTGACTCTATCCTCAGCCATTTGGAGTGAACAAGAATGCGTACTCTAACGCACATCAATGTGCAACTGCATGCTTATCTTAAAGTTAAATCCTGTCGGGTGTCAAGAGGTGTGTGGAGCCTACTTTATTGCTACATTTTTCCACCACACTCACACACACACACACTATCCCAATAGTTCTCTTCGCATTGTATTCACTTCGCTCACTATTCTTCCAACGGAGCTCAGGATAAAATACTAGAAAACCCACCTCATTTATTAGTCTTCCTACTTTATTTATTTAATTAGACTGATAACTTCTTCAGTCAAAGTCAATTCATCGTAGCTTCATTATTCTTATATTGTCAATTTGGCAAAAGTTTGGCCATATAATACCCAATCATCAACCCTATGAATGTTCAATCCAAACTACTTCACCCACCGTTAGTCTTACAGTACCTACCGGAATAAATCACTCAGGATTTGCCAAATAACTAAGCATTTTCATTAATTTCACCTCTTGCCTTCACCTCATTTCACGTTTTCCGCATTTAGTACCAACTGGACAATATCCTTCGCATTGCTCAATTCTGCCACATTGCCACAACTTCAGCACTAATTCCTTACATCCTTGGCAGAACATACATGCCAATGACTACTTCGAACTTCGACTCCTCCAACATTGCCAACTTGAATTGGAAACGTGATAGATCGCAACTCCTAGCAGTTAGACAAGGTACAAATTGAGAATCCCCCTCCCCGGTGATGGCTTTCACTCATTTTATTCCCTCGTACTCCTCATTTTTATTAGGTTAGCAAAATTGGATTACTTTTACGTTGCTCTTATCTCAACGACAACATACCAAGGAAAAGCAGAACTTCTTTATTAATAACTTTCCTATTAGAAATTTGATAGCTAAATGTAAATAAAGGACTGTGTTAGAGAGGGGCGATGGAGGGAGAGAGCCTTGATCGATCAATAACAGCTCAATTGAAGTGGTTTCAACACAATCCACATTAGCGCTCTCCCCAACTGATCCTAATAGTTCGACTTGTGTTAGTGTTTAAAATTACTTCTTGATATATCTTGTTAAGAAGGCTAATTCATTTCGAGACATTAAAAAGATTACACTTATCCCACATTTGGAAGTTGAAGCTTAGATTTAAACAAGACGGTTAATTTGCATGTTCACACTCTAATTAGCGAGACAAAGAATTAAAATTGATTGTCATTTTTGCCTTTAAAAGAAAGACATGTCAGGTAATAAGAGATGGTTGAAATTCTTGGAAAATATTCCAGTGCTCAGATGTTGGACAACATATTCAACTGTCGGTGTATGGCAAACGTGGAACCAAAAAAGTCAATACAACGTCTGTCATCAAGCAATCAATTTCCACCCTTCCCTCCCCCCCCCCCCCCCCTCGCACTACAAAACCAGGCAGGCCGTGTCATTTAAAACATACAGCCAATTCCAAGCTCATCACCCCTTGGACTCTACTCAGCATGAAATTAAACCAATTACTCAACCGAACCCGGCCAGAATGACAAAATAGGCGATGGGGTATTAATAAAGCGCTTTATTTATTGGGAAATTCAATTAACAATTAATGTTGTCCTCACAACAACTTGTTCTGTTGAAATTTATTGAAAGAGTGAATTGGGGTGCTCAGTAGGGTTTCTCGCCGTTGATATTGCCGCTGTGTACAAAAATTCAAGTGAAGTTAGTGAAATATTTCATGTAATTGCCCAAGACAACATCATGCTATAATGTCATTGTGAATAAAGGGAATTGACTTACGCTGGACCGTAGTTGCAAACGAGATAGACTTCACCATAAGTGCTGTCTTTGCACCTATTCAAACCACATCCCAAATCCGTCGAGTTCGCCCAAACTATCTTAGAAAAAAAAACAATGCCGTGTTTTAAACCTTTCGTTCAAATTGATCAGCATAAATCCCATTCAAATGCTCTTCTTACCTGTGTGTAAGTATTGCACATTTTACCGTCTCTACACCGATTGTTTGCGATAATCATAGTGCTTACCTCCATCAAACCACGTTTTCCAAATTCTGAAAGTAAGATTTTAAAACCTGTGCCCAACAGGAACAACAAAGCTATTACTTACAGCGCCAAACTTTGGGAGACACCAATATTCTGTCCATAACTTTCGAATTCTGCAGTTTTCCTTTCGCCATGGGGTTCCAAATCGAATGTGCATTTGTTTGCCCAAGCTTGAGCCCTGGCCGCCAACGTAGAGTTCCATCTCTACAAAATATGAGACTAAAAGTGATTCAATTCTACTTGCTAATCCCACATTTGCACTTGTCTAAACTCAATATAACCTCTTTAATCTATACTGAATAGTGGGTCTCTCTATAGTTAAATGGCAATCTTAACCACCCTCACTCCACTCATCATACCCCCCCCCAAACACTTTGCCAGTTATTGATCACATGATCATCATGGAGCTCTTACGCACTGGTTCAATTCATCTACACGAGAGGTGCATGTTGTAAGAGGCAACTCACCAAGAGAGGCATGACATAGCTACGGGGTTGATGGCAAATTTGGCCACTGGCTAACTTGCGACGAACTTTGTTGTGAAGCCCCAATACTTTTTCCATTGCAGTACTTGATTCCGCGCCATCTCCACCACAAACAGAAACATTTTTGCCGTCACCACCACCCTCATCACTCACTTTACCACCTTGGGCGTAGGAGAGGTTGATGGCTAACACAATGCCCATCAAAAGAGCACTGATAGTAACACACTTATTCATTCTTCACTCCACTCCTACTCCTTATCTCATTCTCTCCCTTTCCACTCTCTTATACTCCAACGCCAATGCACTTCTACGCACCCTGCACGTTTTAACTCAATCTTCTCCAATTCACTGCACACTCTCCTCTTCTGCTTCACTGCTCCCATGTACTTGCATAACCTCCACTATCTTCACACTCATTGCTCATTCGACATGCTCACGCCTGAAATATCTAACTTCAACATACCCTACTATTTACCTCAAATTCTTTTTTTTACAACCCCTCTCAGTTCTCAAACACTTCATTGGTCGCCGTTTGTTACTTTTCCTGTCATATTCTACCACCTATAGAACTTATTTTGCATTGAACAATATTTCCATCTAGACACCACACATTTCTAGTTATCAAGACAAGTCCACCTTCAACTATTCTTTTCTCATTACTCAGCTCATTGCTTAAGTAGTTGCTTAAATGTGCATTTAACGACAGCTCACACATTTCCCCTCCCCTTTCTCTCTGCCCGTGAGCATCTAGCTTAGAGCGAAGTTGGAAGAGGTCGAAAGAGTGCTATTCCAACCAATTTCTTCCCTCCTTACAAAATCTTTATCTAGCATTCCTTCCGCCATAGTTGCACTGCAAGCAATGGCACAATTTTGCTCATTACACCTAAACTCGCACATTGAAAGGCATGAAACCAGGGTGGTGGGGTGAGATGGGATGGAATGGGGTTGGTGGATAAGATGGAATGGGATTTGATGGGAAGAGAGGCACGAAATATTCTGCTTAATGAAATCGGCAGGTCAGGAGTTTTACGTTCTTCGTTCACCCGTTCACTCCCAAATGCTTGTAACAAATAGAATGCACGATGACAACCGCTCTTACTCATCACCTTGATAATATGTGGAAAGTAAAAAGGAACAGTGGTAATACCTGAGAGGGTGAAAGAATAAAGCAGCCAAGAGGCCCGATGCAAAGGATACACATTCACCATCGGATCGCATGATTTTTTTGGGTCAGCTAAATAATTTGGTTCCACCTCCTACCACTTGCATTCTTATTTGTCGATTTTGTGTGGATTCACACGACGATCCGCCACTTCTGCTGACTATTGACACTAGCAGTCCTGGTAGGCCAATTCGATGCCTGACTATGTTTCCATTGCATTTCTTCCATCTACCTCCTCCACCCACTGTTCTAGAGGAAGAAATCAGTGAACAACCGGATGAATATGCACATTTCTAAACCTTCTTTACTGAGCCAACAGTGGAATAAATGGTGTTACGCCAATGTGACCTTAATCTAATTATTCGAGAATTTCACCTTTTTAAGATCTATTTTTGATTAATAAAACTTAATTATTACTAGTTTAGCAGGTAAAAACTTGGGTTGACAAGTCTACTGCTAGCAACTCTTTAAGAACTAACTAACTAACTATTCAATAAGGGCATAAGTCCGAATGAGAAGTAGAATATGGGGTATGGAACAGGAGACCAACCGAAGTATTGTGTCGATTTAATGAAATTAGGCAGTTGGTTGTGAGGATTCTGCGTCGCCTGGTGGTTGCAGTTTTGCAGTAAAAGTTCGGTAATGAAAGCTGTGGCAGGAGTTGTGTCATGTTTTTTACTTCACATAGGAATTGATATTTGTGAAAGGTCGCAGACGAGGTTGACAGAAGGTAAGTGTTTTCGTTTTACTTGTGGTGGTTAGTTCTTGGTGAAGCTGGATGGCTTGGGTTTATCTCAAAGTTTCGGATACATATGTGACATCACGAAAAGGCTGTACGATTATTTATAAAACATCCAAAGCATGTAACTGTTATCCTGGTGACGAACAATCTCATTCACTTCTCGTTCATTGTATACACTTTGCGCTACCCACTTCTGTGATTTTGAATTTCTGCTTTCATCTGACCTCGGGGCACTTCTAACGAGTGATTTTAAAAACTTTAAACATCGACTCTACGACGACTCTTTTTCTTACTCTCCCACATATACGCACTTGACGAATGTGTGCCAATGACCTCTGTATTCAGTCAGACAACAAATTTTCGCTTTCCATTTATTTCGAGGAACACTTGACTATCTCCTGCTAAATACTATCACATTTTGAAATTATTTTTTCAGCCTATCTCCATACCTGATTTCCAACGCCACTATCGGCAATCTTTATCCACATGTCTCGGTCATTATTGCATTGCTTTAACTTGAACCCAAATAGGTCACGAAGCCACTACCTCACATTGCAATACCCACCTCCAAGCGCTACTACCGACTACCAATCAACTCATATGTGCTTGAATAAATTATCTATTTATTTCAAATGGTAGGCATATTGGTATTCACCATTACCCCTTTAGCTTACTTCGGACTTCACAGAGGGGGGGGGGGGAAGAAGAGTGATACACAGGTGTATTTATTTATATCAAATGGCAGGCGTTTTGATGGTTATCATTAGCCCTTTAGCTGACTTCAGGCTTCACAGAGTGTAAGGAACATCGAAGTGAAAAAGTCGAGATTGAGGAAGGGGGAACAGAAGAGGGCTTCAAAGACGAAGGTAGAAATGGTAGAAAAAAGGTGAGGTGAGTGCTGTGAGAGTAGTCGAATATGATATACAGTGGGGTCATGGTAATTTGAAGTCAGAAGTCAACTGCCGGTTTATAGACTTTTTTGCCGTATAAGTATACGTTGCCCAGGGTGCATCACGTGGAGGTAAGTCTTTCGCCCACCCCGTGCTTGAATAAATGAATGGCATTTCAAGTGTTCTCCATCGAAAAATTTAGCAATATGATCCATATTTGCTGGGTACTATTCGGAATAGCCCATTTGTCTTGGTAAATTCAGCTTCAAATTGCCTGAATGGGGTCATGTGAATTTAAATCCAATGGACAGTTTCGTTATTGAAAAGCACATTTAAATACTCCGAAGTGCGAGTATACAGCCGAAGTTTTTTTTAATAAATTTGCCTAAATTACGAAAGCAAGCTTCATAAACGCGGGAGTTTGTTTAAAGCCAGAGACGTGGGTGCTAGAGTAAAAGGGTGGAAATACTCGATGCCAATTCAAAATACTGAAGTCCCTAAGAAGTCATCATAAAGGGGAAATCATGGACCTTCTTTCTCCTTCAGTTTTCACATCCTCGTGTCGACTATTTTGCACATTTTTCCTTTCCATTTATTTGCCCTCTTCAGATAAAATTTTCAATGTCGGTTTTGACACGGTTTTGGCTGAGTTTTCCCACTCCGGACAATGGTTTCGTTTGACACACCATTCGTCTCTGCACACCCTCGAGGCAACATTCGCGGATCTTCACTTTTTTTGCAGCTACTTCATGAGTTGCCCAATGACAATTTCCCTTCCACAAGTTCGACCAAGGCTTGAAAAGTGCTTTTGCTCGATCACTAATCTTAATTTACTTTCAACCGGCTTTCTCATCCATTAAACGGAATTCTAAAAATTGTGTTTATGAAGATTTGTATATTTTTAAAAATTATTCGAATCAGCGTTATTAGGCGTTATGACATTTTGGTCATATCAGATAATGTTTAAGTTGAATTCCCGTCACTGATCGATAAACGAAGAAGATTTACTCAGTTCATTAATTCTAGGTTTATAGCCTCTTTGTTTAGCACAACTTGGATGTCTTTCACTTGGCGCAGCCACCATTTTTCCATTGTTCAAGGTTCCCATTTCTC